CGGAAAATGTTAATTTAGTGTACGAACGTTGGCAAAAAGGAGGAGAATTTCGAGAGAAATTTAATTAACATAAAAGTCAATTAGACCATTAAATCAGATTTAAAAAATTGCATTAAATTTTATGAATCGCGGAATTATGTGCAAGGCTAATGTTCCAAAGGTCGAGAATTATTTTTTTGCGTCGAAAAGAATTTCGTAAAAATGATTCAGATAATTTTATAAGCGCTTTGTGTGTGTTTCGCGAATATGAAAAAATTCATTTTTTCCCGGAGAGAGAAATTCTCATATTATTTGCTTGCGCGCGGTAACTTCCGTAAGGGCCGACAACGTGTTCGGCGGATGTGCAGCCCTCAGCGGCGCCCAACTTTAATGTCCGACACCGTCAGTCGTTAGATTGATGTAGCGGCATCAGTTGAGTATTAACCCGAAATGAGCGTATAATGGCGGCGTCGGGTATTTGATGCCCGTGCTCAGGACGCAACGTATGGTATTTGCTCGTATGTAGCTTCTACGAGGATATTGGGCTTACATTATATATATATACGTCGTTCATATAGTTAAAATTAAACGATATATCGATATGCCCATATGTTCGCGGTGTGTCTCCACGTTGCGCATATATGACACAATGCACTCAAAGATATTATCGAAATTTAATTTATTTAAATCATATCTCACCACGTCCGTCATTTCGGTTGAAGGTGAACTGTGAAACGAGAAATCTAAAATACATATATCAAGATTTTACGTGCAATTCATTTATGCATATACTTCTTCATTTTCGTTAAACATTCTTCTTCATTTTCGTTTTATTATATATATTAGCACAATACAGGCGCTACGCGCAAGCATTTGTTATTTTTATTTTAACGTGTTGTGCTAATGAACACAACCTGTCGCCGCGATGTGACAGCTACTATATACGTCTTATAAACCATATAATACATATATGAAAGATGTCAAAAATAACACATGAAAGTCAAACTCGAACAATAGTGACAGGAAGAAGTGGGAAAAACAACACGTGACTAGAGTCACGTAACTTTAGTCACGTTTTTCATGCTTTGTTCTGTTTCTCTATGTGTTGGCGAGTACTCTGACATTTCAGTCCAGTTTTTAAAGACACGTGATTAAAGTACAGTCATGTACTTTAGTCACGTGTTATTTTCCCTCTCTTCCCTGTTCACGTGACTAAAGTACAGTCACGTAACTAAGGTCAGTTACCTCGCCGCGGTCACGCGATCGAGGTCAGTGACCCCGCCAAGGCCGCGCGGCCGAGGTCAGTGACCCTCCACCCACCAAGGCCGCGCGCCCGAGGTCAGTGACCCCGCAAGGTCGCGCGGCCGAGGTCAGTGACCCCGCCAAAGTCAAATGGATTTTTTTATATAGAATAACGCCAACGAGGTTACAATTTTGTCTCTTGAATGTAATAATTGAGTTCGCCAAAACGTAATTTTTTAATTGATCGGCCGAATTAATTTGTCGTATATATCCAAGTTTCCACCAGGTGGTTATATCAAGTACACACGTATTTGTTCGAGTAAAATCACAGGATAAAAAACAAACTTTAAAAATACAACGCAATTGAATCAACAAACAAACCCTTTCACTGTAGTCTCCTTCGGCAGTTTCGTTCTGAGAAATGGCGCGGCGGACGATCGATATTGCGATAAAGATTCGAAGTGCAAACGATTTTTTTTCTCTCTCTTTCTCTCTCTTTCTTCCTTCCAGTTTTCTATTGGCTCTCTATCGCATAGTGTAAATATGTATAGAATTTCGAGCACGTGTTTGTATATGTCCGCGCACAGAGGGCCGAAGAAAAGTCTCGATTCTTAAAATTCCCGATGCGGGGGTGCCCGACCGCAGGCTCGGGGCGATATTGGAAAAGCTATCGACGCCTTCTCATCTACTCGCGCCCGGCATTCAACGCGAACTGGACGAAATATTCGGACGCAATTTCTTTATGATAATTCGATTTATCCGTCGACCGCGCGTCAGCGTCAAGTGCATCGGCTCCGTCGTCGTCGTCGTCGTCGTCGTCGTCTCGTAAAGGCGCCATACCATTACATATCTAGCGTACCTACCTATACCCAACTCTACCTACGCGATCTCGCGAATAGCCTCTCATACTTTTTATTCTGCAAATGGCCGAACCTCTCTTATTCGCCCATATTGCCGGGAATAGGAGCCCGCGGCCCGATAAAGAATCCCGGCCCCGCCTTTCGTGAATTCATTTCTAGCTGGCACCGCGGAGAGTACGCTGCTATACCTCTCGAAGATTCATGAAAATTGATCGATCTGTTGCCTCCGGCGAAATTTCGCGCACGAAATATTCCCTTATCGGCGAGCCCTGAGATGTTTATTCTGAAACCCCTTGCACTGGACAACACACACGAAGAGAGAGAGAGAGAGAGAGATAGAGAGAGAGAGAGAGTGCAACGTTTTACTAATGTGTTCGGGTTAATATTTGAGCTGAAAATCGATTACTTTGTGTCTCGCGTACGCTTGCCCTCGCAAATAAATGAAGCGATTATAACTCGGCATACAGAATCACTTTCTGATACGATTAATAGAGCGAATATGTCATGTTAAAGCGATATGTGTCGAGATTTTGTAGCTCTGAATGCGCGCGTATTATTTTATAATATATATTTTTGTTTTTCGAATATAAACGCGTCGGAATATTTTTCATGAATTATGAGTAATCCGCGCGCACATATATCTTTCAGGGAGAGCCGAAAACAATCTCCTAATAGCAATTCTTACTTCCTTCATCGACTGTTACTTCCAAACGGTTGAGCCATTCGCCAAGCTCCGGTCATGTACATGTATATAGTATATATATATATATATATATATTTCGTTCATAATCCATCCCGTATCAATTTATCTTAAGCGTATCGAATCGTATCCGTGAGTGTCTTTCCCTTCTCTTATTTTCCCGTTTCCCCGGCTTCCCCCATCTCATCCTGTCGTTCTGGCGCGAGCGACGTTATCCGATTATTTCCGACCGCCATTTTCCACGGGTCCCACAATGCATCTTTCGATTGCGACGAGTCTCGATTGTATTTTCGTAAGTGATATTTGCTGAGAAAACTTTGGCCACTTCACTCTAATTGTTTCTCTCTCTCTCTCTCTCTCTCTCTCTCTCTCTCTCTCTCTCTCTCTCTCTCTGCGTCGCTGCGCGCTGGAGCGAAATCCATCACGGTGAATAAATATCCTCCCAAATAGACGAAAAATCTGTTCCACTTCCACGAAACCGCGATATTTTCTTCCGCGTTTGACATACATTTTTAAACTTCCATCTTTCGTCATTTCAGATTGAGAGTAAATTGATAGAATTTTAGATTGTAATAACCGCGAATTGCTTAATGAAACGTCGAAAATTTTATTGCGCGCCGTCTCTCGTGTTTTTTTTTTTTTTTTTTTCACGCGAAAAAGCATCATGTACAAATTTTGTTTTACATATATTTTGTACATATTAATTGCCAAAGTTTTGCTCCGAAGTCTCGAAATTAAACTATTGCCCGGGCAGTAACGAATATGATTTATTACCGTCTCTAAAGTTTGACGAGACGTCGTAATTAATTCTACGATAGTCAAGAGGTATTTCAGGCTCTTCACTAGAAATGAACGTTGCCAGGTTCGCTAATAGGATGCATTCATGGTTCGATGCGCAATTAAGGATAATTTGGAAAGAGTGCTCGTATCAATTCACCGGCATATTTTCCGTCGTGTCGCGAAACTCGCGAATTGACGGCAAAAAGAGAGAGAGAAAGGGAGGGAGAAAGAGAGAGAGAGAGAGAGAGAGTAAAGCGAGATAAATGAAGCGGTTTACTATCGCTCGTATAAATCGGTAACGTAATTACGCTCGGTGTTGAGAGGAGATTACAGGGTGTTACGGCTTACGTGTACGTCGAATAAAACGCGGATACGTGGCGGTTATTAGAGGAACCGGCACCGTTTTGCGTCACAAGTTGCTAATTAGTTCGCCAGATGGACAAACCGTTTTGCGGCGATATTGGCTCAGTTAGGTACTAAGTCCTCGTATATTGCCGAGTTGCGAAACGGACTTTAACCGACGTCGTTTGTATCTCGATTTTCGTTGGTCGAGAGGAGAAAGGCGAGGGAAGAAAAAGCAGAACGCGGCATACTCGAGCACAGTTATTAGTTATTAATGCTTAATCGATAACTGCATGTAACTGCAATTTTCATCAAATCTAACGATACTATGTATATGTGACTCTTAATTATAAAATACTACATAGTATATATTTTTGTCTGAAGCAACGTTCTTGCCACTCTTGTCTCGATTAATTTCGAGATAACAAATAGCGCGACATTGTATTGCAAGATCGATACTTCGTTCGACATCACGCGACGTTTTTCGTACGTCGTAAAAAAAGTCATCTCATCTTCGGTCATTGATGTTTTGAGAATGTGCGGCGCGGATGGAGTTTCCGGACTTGCGTATACGAGGAATAGCCGGTTATACGTCGAACCGGCCGGTCGAACCGGCTTGGAAATAGTTTCCGGAACTAATTTACTCACGAGGGTCAGCATCTCGTCGCCGCCGCCGCCGCGTCTCCTCGAATATCCTCTTTATTTCACGTTCGGGCTATCGCCCTTCGAAATCGCTGCGGTCGCGAAGAGTGAACTTCGGATGTAACACCCTCGGATCCATTTCCCGACTACGCGGACCAATATTATCTTTGATCCGACGTCGTCAACCATAGCAGTCCTCCGGAGTATAGTTCGAATACCGAGAATTCCTCGCGCTGTGCCCGGCCGCGCGGAAACATATGATTACTTGCGATCGAATCACTGTGCTTAGTGCACATCTAATATATATCTCTCTCTCACTCTCTCTATCTCTCTCTCTCAATAATTTTTCCACAATTTTGTACAGAATTATCCTCCGTTATTGAGTCGCTTTAATTTACAATTTTAACGAAAGCGATTCTCAGTTTTTTAATTTTTTAATTTAATTGCAATTCCAGGTGAAGATGTGGAACCGCGACTCCGACAAGGAGTAACCATCGAGGTACATGAAAGAAGGACATGAACTACTCGCAAGGTAAGACACTTTTCAGATAACATACGTTTAATGTAAAAAATGTTTAAAAAATATTTAACTTCGAAAATATTACTCAAAGGCGGCAAAGATGAAAGTCATCGATATTTTCATGTGTGTGTGTATATATATATATATATATATATATATATATACATACATACATATGTACATATGTATGTATATCTATCGAATCGAATTCGCCGTGGGTTTGTCCCCGTCCGATTTCCAAGCCCCGGCGAAGTGAGCGGAAGGCGGTTCCGAAACAGTTCGGAAATTCACTCAACTAATCAAATACCGCTAAAACCGCTAAACAAGTTAGGTTAGCAATCTACGTGCTCCGAATGGCAACTCCGAACTGCTGCGGCTGCGAAGCGCGAAAACGCTCGCGACTGCCTCCGCAATCCGCACGCCGTCTTCGCTCTCTCATCCACCTACATTCCTTAACGAGAGGAAACGACTCGACGCAGACGTGTACAGATCGCCTAATCGACGGTCCGAATCTCGCGATTGCAGGTTTTGACTTGTGTCCGTCGTGTCATCGGTCGGTTCGATATATATATATATATATATGTATATATATAAAAGCGATCAATAGACGCTTGCAGCGGACTTTCCAATTTAGACATTCAAAACGTTTTTAAAATCAAAAGCAGTTCTAATCACGTTTAGTTTTAATTCATTAAAAATGCTATCTGACGTGTCTCTCAATATTTGATCTTAAACAACATTTATATTTAAACATTTACAGACGACACGAAAAGTTGTCTCACACAGATATCTATTTTTGTGAAAAATTCACCAATCTATTTCGCGCCGTCGCCTTTGTTTAATACGGCCACAATTAAATAGCAATATTTCGAGTAAAAAATTTATTATACGCGCAAGTGAAACGAACAGGGGAGACATTTTAATTATCTATTTATGCGCTATAAGACTTTCTATTTATGAATGCGCGCCATGTGCGTGTACACACACTGCCGAGAATCAGATAGCCAATCGGAATATCCCCGAGGGTGCGGGGACACGTGCTGTTGTCCCGAAGCGAAGATGTTTTCTACCGCGACCCCTATTTTGTGGACCCCTAATTGTTCTCATATTCGACACGTCGCACGTTATCTACCTGTCCGTGGCGGAAAAGCCACACGGGAGATGTACTCCCGGTAATGTCTAAGAACCTCTCTCTCTCTCTTTTTCTCTCTCTCTCTCTTCGGCCATTCACATGCAAATCTACGCTGAGTCGGCTATTAAGTTCGCCACGGATGAGCGGATCCGATATACAGAACGGGGCCACTGACTCCCGGTTGCGTCCTTTGTCGTTGGCGACGCCTCTCGCCGAGACATTTTTGTCTCGTTCGCTATTTTACGGAGAATATGTATACACACACACACACAGACATATACCTTTTTGAATGAAGAAGAGCGTACAAATTAGTCGGATCGTTAGTGAAATCCATATTAACGAGAGACGCGTCGGTTTCTCCCTTTAATGGAGAAACGCACTCGGGATTCCCATGTTAATTCCAATCCTCCCTCACGTCTTTCCGACGAAACGCACAAAGAGGAAAGTCGCGGCGGGGTCCCGTGTATTCTTTTGTTGCGGTAATACTCTCAACCAAACAAGTCCTCCTGAATATTTTAAACATATTTCACGGAAACGCATAAATACCCCCCGACCGAAAGGATATTTCTTTTCTCGTCGTTGCGCGAGAGAACGGAGAAGAATGGGGTGTGTATGCGCGTCGACCGAGAGTCGCGACTCGAGAAACGAAGATAAACCATCTGCATGTTTAAACCTTTAAACTACTTGACAACGTTTAAAAAAAACGCGAACAAAAGGAACTGATTAGCCTACGTAATTGAAACGTGAAAGAGAATAACGAAGCAAATTGAGACTACACAAGTGCGAGAAAAACAAAATGTAAAACCTGACATTCGCGGTTTTTACACAACTTTTTCACAAGGCAATATCTTTCTCCTCGAGGATAATAGCGACGCGTGATCCCTTAAATAGGTGTATGTGTATGTGTGTATGTATGTATGTATGTATGTATGTATGTATCGCCGCGCCAACCCTCTTTCATTTGGGAAACGGTACCGTCGATTACGACTTCCTTTCGGGGGTTGAAAAGGAAATATAGAAAAGCGACACGTATATACACAGTCGGCCGCCGAATACAGGGCAAATAATGAATTTAGCCCGTTTTAAAGAGGTTATTGACGGAATCCATTCCCGCGCGCGCGGTCCTAAACGCATGGCCGATCGAGCGAGAGAAGACCGTTTGGTCTTCTCCATCCCTCGCGTTCTCTTTTCCTCCTCCCTCCGTTTAACGTAATTACGAATCTCGTTCTCCCGTTCGGTCAAAGAGGACCTGAATATATTTCCATTTCGCAATATTTTCTCTTTCCTGCGTGTGCGCGCGCGCGCGCGTCAGGTCGATATTTATTCAGACGTTCGCCCGCACCGTTCGTCGAACGAATATCCGCCGTAAACCAACGTTAGTGTCAAGAGTTATCGCATAACGTCGGTCCCGACGAGTATCGCGTTCGCGCGCGCGGGGCTACCATTTCATCCAATTTGCAGCACTACACAGAGTGCATTGAATGGATTGCGTCGTAACGCGCGGCGTTATCGATGTAAATTCACGGAGGAATTGTTCCGAACCGCTCAGAGCGAGATTATGCACTTGTTTATTGCGATAAATAGCGCGGATGAAACTGTACGCGAAAACATCGCGGAATAAAATGTAAAATAAATATTCCGCGATACAATAAAAAAAAAAAAAAAATATATATATATATATACACATATGTATGTGTATGTACATGTATATTTATTCGGAGGAGTGTAAAGATATTTTTCTCCGCAAGCGAAAAATTTACAATTTTTAACGAGCTCTCTTTGTTTCTTCATTTTTGTGACTTTTCGAAATATTATTACGGGGTTACGGGAGGGGGATGCGGAAGAAGATTCGCGCGAGAGAATAAACTGCAATATTTTTCTCTCAGCCTTGTCTGAGAAATTGGCGATAATCCACCGTCGCGCGTCTTACGAATTAACTCTCGATGCAAGCGTCGTTCTCCCTTGGGAGGAGGTGCGCGCGAGTCAGACAGCGGGGAAAGAAACGCCGCCGCCCTCTTCATCCGCCTCAACCATCCGGCTTATATATTGTAAATACCACGTAATCTGATGACCTCCCGGCGACGGTCCCTTCATTACCGGCGCGGGTGCCATTGTTCCGTAGGTATAATTGAATTCCCAAGGCAGCCGCTGCCGCCAGCTAACCCTCATCCTCTCGACATCAGCGATCCGAGAGAACCGCCGATTCCACGTTGGAACTCTACGAGACCCTGATTTACCCCATTCAGTCGGGAATAATGCGATATCTCGTCCCCCGAAAGCCACGTCGAACCTCACTTGAAAGGAGAGATAGAGAGGGAGAGAGCGAGAGAGAGATAGAAAGGGTGGAGAGGAGATAGTGTGTGTGTGAGAGAGAGAGAGAGAGAGAACGAGGGGGTCATTTGGGCAGGAGCGGGTTAGTCTAAGCTCGTACACGATTCCGAATGTCCATCCGTTCGCCGCCAAAGTCTTCCGCTCGTCTCTGCCGAATGTCGCTTCCCCACTTTGAAAGCGCACGAGCGCCAACAATGGATTCTATCGATGCGCTCGGGAATTGGTCGATAATTCGAAACTGAACGCGCGGCTCCACCGAGTTGTGTGTTCCGCGTAATTTCAGCTCCGGGCATGGAGATTGTCGGAATTGCTCTCTGAACCATACAAATTTAATACGAAATCAGCTCGCACGTAAGGCACGCGCACCACCAGCGCTCTCTCTATCTCTCTCTCTCTCTTTCTCTCTCTCGTGTAATATGGGTAAGTTAACAAATAATGCATTTGTGCGGCTATTTTCGTCATAAGCAGCGCGCACAGGAGTGTCCCGAATTTATCGTATTTTTTTTTACACGCGTACATTTTTCAACTAATTTACGGTGCAGTTTTTCTGATAATTCCGAGCCAACGGGTTTTTTTTTTTTTTTCCCCGAAGTTCAAACAATCGGGAGCACAGCTTTTACGGCATGCCTTTGAAGCGCGAGCCACAAAGGCGAAAATAAATCACGTTTCATAATTAACAAGTTCGGTTTTTTAATCCGCTTCGTAAAATGATATTAGTGTTGCCCCAGTGATGTTCGTCGTGTTACATAATATAAATTTTCCACGGATGGCAGCTGGCGATCGTTAAGTTCTTAATAGTCGTCTCTTAAGTGTCAGAGCGATCGTCTCACTGGTTGGTAAATTACTAGTTTGACTTGCGCTAAAGTATATTTCCGCTTATATTTCATTTCCAAGAGGTTTGGCCGTCAATAATTCAACGCTCAACTGTCTCTCCCGATATCAGACTTTTAACCGCGTGAACCGCGCGCGCGCACACGCTCTGCGGAACACACACGCAACGCAATAAATATTTGACTTTGACGTTAACATATTAAAATTATCATCAAGCTCTCTCTCTCAAAGCTCAACTTTTCGATCCGATATTATCCGCGTATAAATATATAAAACCTCACCCATGCATAAAAGTCATAAATTCATAAGAGAGCAGCACTCTGTTGAATATTTTACTTCTCTTTCTAGGAAAAAAGAAGAAAAAAATATACATGTTAAACTGAAATTTTATTTTCCAATTTAAGTCGATCGCGATGAGTTTTGAAATTTCTTGCTTGACCGATCGAAAGAGAGAAATTGAAATGTTGTTCTCGACAGAGTGAGTTCTCGTCATATTTTCGAGAATATCTCTCGTGTTTCCTTGCGCTCCGTCCGCACTCCGTCGATCATCGCGAAAATTAGACGATCGACATCGTCGTCATTCGTCACGATGCGCCGACTGTCAGAAGAGAAGATGGTAACAAAGCGCGTGACATGTCTGGCCGGCGTAACATAGCCGCGGACGGCGTTTGCTAATCGCAAGCATCGGAAGGCCCCCGCGTCGCGGTATTTTCAGAGA